CATTTTTTTCCCCATTTCAGAGGAGTCTCTTCAGGATGTTGCAAATTTAAAGAAACTGCTGATGAAAGCTCTGACTCTCTTTATTGATGCAGCAGAAAGTTATTCTAAGGTAAGATGAGATGGAATTGTATGACTTCTGTACAGCACTGGGAGCATATAAGGAGTGAGCTGAACTGGGAGAACAAAGAAAGCTGCTCTAGGGAGGGTGTGCAGAATCCTGTCCCCGGAGAAAAGGAGCAAAGGACTCTCTTGCTCGGTCAGCTCAGCAGTATCCCACCAGTCTCAACACTGTTGTATCAAAGAGCAGTACGCTGTTCCCTGTTCAGGCCTTAACATCTAGGGTTACAATTAGGTTCCCCAGTTTTAGAGGAGTGACCATGAGCTTAATGAGCAAGAATAGAACAACATAAAGAGTGTTTAAAAACTGGCATGATTATGATGAAAGTAGTATTTGTGGTGAGTGAAGCTTCATTTAAAACTAATGGAATATGATCAATGATAAAACTGGAGTGATCTAAAAGATGAAATACTAGACAACTCGTTGCTTTCAGGAATATTTATTGCTTTCCTCTAGAAACGTGCTTCAGAAGCTTGCATTTGTCTTTGATTTATTAAATAGGACTCCTGCGTCCGCCAGTCCTTGCGCTGCAGTCGGCTAACAAAGCTGATAACCCTCCAGCTGCATTTTCTCAACACTGGTCAGAGCACTATGCTGATCAACCTGAACAGACAGAACTTGATGGACTCCATCATGTCCTTGCCTAGGTTCTATCAGGTAAGCTTGGCTTCTTCACCTGTTATTTTTTCTGAAAATGATTGTTTTAAACAGCAGGTGCAGAAGCACTCTGCTCCTGTGAGCATAATGCTAAGCTCTTCCATGTGGCCACCAAGTCCCGTGACTATTATCCCATGATATTGCTGCCGATGGGACCAAGCTTGGAAATGCAAGCGCAATCCTGGTGCAGACTGATGCTTCTAGCGGTCCTTGCTGGCTTGCTGCCATCGTACAGCCAGGACCTTGGCCATCCAGTGGCTCTCATGCGGCTGCGAGTCTACACTAGAGCCCTGAAATCTAATCTGCATTGGCATCCACCATTTTGGAAGTTAGAAAGAAAAGGGCTTTTTGAAGAGAACAACCAAACCCTCGCTGACATCTTGTTAAGGGGTTAAGGAAAATCATTTGCAGTATTTTGTTACCCTTGTATTTCTCTGCAGCTGCTCTCAAGAACAGCATCAAGAGATGGGCCAAACAGAAGACCTAGAATATTTTAAGTATTCTAAGCATAGGAATGTGTCTGTGCAAGAATAAACTCTTCCTGCTCAGTAATTCCAGCATCTGTTCTCCCCGCAGGCAGCTATTGTGGCTGAGGCTTATGAGTTTGTTCCAGATTGGGCTGAAGTTCTGTATCAACAAGTGATCACCAAGGGAGACTTCACTTACTTAGAAGAATTTAAACAACAGAGACCACTGAAGCCTAGCATATTTGAGGAGATTGCTAAGAAGTAAGTAGTTCTATGGTCAAATTGGAACTTTCTTTTCCACAGGCTACTTTAGAGGAGCAACTGCGTGTTTTATAGCATGCAAGTCTTAGTACTGTTAAAACGTTTTATGTAATAAAGCATAGGACATAGGGACTTGAAATTTATTCAGTTTCTTAAGCATACTGTGGAAATAGCTCTGGATCTACCATTTTTATTGAGCTGGATAAATAGGGCGCCTTAGGGCTGGTCAGATCAAATCTTTTTTGAAGTGAATCAGAGTAAAATAAACAACCAAGAGAATCAAATGTACGTGTTGAACACAACCTCTTTTTAAGAAGTATAGTTCTTATAGTTCTATAGCAAGATAGTCTTATAATCGTTGTGAAGCCTATTTCAAATATACGTACAATTATTTTCAGAGTTAAACAACACCCACCTACTGAAGCTGCTCTGAAAAATCTGAAGAAATTGCTCGCTTACTGTGAAGATATCTACACATACTACAGATTGGCTTACGATAACAAGTTCTACGATGTGGTAAATACGCTTCTGAAGGATGCACAGACTGGCTGCTGCCTTAATGATATGTTATCAAACTAGAATCCAACCTCCATGAAGTAGAGACTGGATCTGACAAGTTCCAGTGCCACAGCTTCTTGCATGGTTAGTACTGAGTCTTTAACAGATATTTTTATCAATTACCTGCTTACAATGACATGCTGCTATGCGAAAGTTACTCCAGAAATCTGGTGGTGGTTGTACATATTTAAAATTGCTGAGACTGTGTTAACCTAACATCGTGTTTTGTATAATAAATCCTACTGTTTACAAAATACTTGATTAATGCCACAGCTTCTTGCATGGTTAGTACTGAGTCTTTAACAGATATTTTTATCAATTACCTGCTTACAATGACATGCTGCTATGCGAAAGTTACTCCAGAAATCTGGTGGTGGTTGTACATATTTAAAATTGCTGAGACTGTGTTAACCTAACATCGTGTTTTGTATAATAAATCCTACTGTTTACAAAATACTTGATTAACC